CATCGTGAATTCTGTGGTTGTGAGGTGAATTCCCTATCACAATCTTATAAAATGTTCGACATCGAACCTGCACCTTCTCTATATTTTAAGTTCTCTGGTCTGGCAGCATTAGCCAATGAAAAGTCAAAATTGGTTGTCAAACTTCTAACCTAACAAAAGGTAAAATAAGCCGTTTCATCGCTCGCAAACAAAACTGAAACTATTCACTTTTTACTTTTTTCCATTTGTATTATAAATTAGTGGAATTAAAAGTTATAAAAAATGAGTTCTATCGGTACAGGGGTGAGTTCTGATTTGAAACCTTGAAATTCTCATCCAATTATTCCAAATATGTTTTGTACATCTTATAGTACGATCTTTCGGCATCACAATTTTCGCCTGATGGTCGGGTCTATCAAATTGAGTACGCTGGTAAAGCGGTAGAAATGAGTGGAACGGTAATTGGAATGCGTGGAAAAGATGGTATTGTTTTGGCCGTAGAAAAAATTGTTACCAGTGCTTTGTATGAGGATGACGCAGCTACACGTATATTTACTGTAGACAAAAACATTGGTATCGCTATTGCTGGTCTTTTAGCTGATGGGAGATATATAGTGGACATCGCTCGACAAGAGGCAGCTAATTTCCGTCAACAATTCGAACGTACAATACCTTTGAAACAATTAACTGAACGAGTATCAGCTTACGTGCATGCCTATACGTTGTACAGCGCAGTGCGCCCATTTGGTGTGTCTGTTATATTGGCCTCATGGGACGAGGAGCAAGGACCACAACTATATAAAATCGAACCTTCTGGTACTTCATTCGGGTATTTTGCATGTGCTAGTGGCAAGGCCGAACAACAAGCTAAAACAGAAATGGAGAAACTAAAATTTGCAGATATGAGTGTGGACGATTTGGTACAGAATGCGGGCAAGATGTAAGTACCTACATATAAATTCCATACACGAGTATTCAGAGGTATATCTTTTGGTTTAATTATGTCAGCATTTATTTGGTACATGATGAACTCCGAAACAAGGATTTCCATTTCGAAATGAGTCTGGTCAGCAAAGAAACAAAAGGGCTACATCGTTTAAATCCCCAGCCATGGTACGATCAGGCAGTTCAAAGTGGTCTAGCGGCGAAGAATGAGGACGATAGTGATAATGAAATATAAGATATTTTTTATTTAATTCTAAATCTCTATATAGTAACTAATCTTTTTGATTTGGTTTCAAATATTTCAATATGGTTTTACCTTAAAAAGTAAAATAAAATCTCATGCACACGAGAAGTAAATGAATTGTTTGCTTTATGAAATTCTGTTAAATTGGTAAGATTTTATTAAGTATTAATACAGCGCAAGTCAAACTTTCATTATAAATTATCTTGTGAATGGCACATAAGCAGTTGCCGGTTCAGCAGAAACAGCTGGTGAACCAATTCTTAGTAATCAAGCTTAAAATGTTTCTAATAAAACGTTTCTGTAGTGGGTTTCAACACATAAAAGCAATTACAAATACTGCTAAACCTGGAGACCGTCTTGATGTGCGAGTACGTAAGAAGTGATTTAATACCTTCACATAATTTTCATTTATAAAACTACAATTAGGGATGGATAAAAAACATACGGCGTCTGAAGAAAAATATATTTTTCGACCTCAACGATGGTTCCACTGTACGTCGATTTCAAGTGGTCATACCGAAAAGAACGGAATCAAAGAATATAAGTGTTGGGAGTAATATCTGTGCATCCGGGTGCATACAAGTAGCGCCTAATGGCCAACTAGAATTACACGCCGAACATGTAAAAGTAATAGGTGGTATACCATATTAAAATTCCCAACATATACGGAACTATAAAACTAATTGTTTCTTTTGTAGCTGACGGCCATATAACAGATTATCCTTTTACACCAAAGCAGCAGCATCCTCCTGAATATGTTCGTGAACATTTACACCTCCGTGCGCGTGTAGATTACATAGCGGCGCAAATGAGGTTGAGGCATCGTGCATTGAAGGCGATACATGACTATATGGACGAATTGGACTTTGTCCAGATTACCACTTCCGTTCTTACAACAAATGACTGTGAAGGTGCTGGAGAAGTATGTATTCAATTTGTAAATAAAAAAAATTAAAATTTATTGTGGATTATTCAATATTTTATACTTAAAAAATGCAGATTTTCAGAGTGCAACCAGATTCTGTTGTTCTCCTCAAGGAAATGGCCCGACCCAATATTCCCACTGAGCATAGTTACTTCGACAAAAAAGTGTTTTTGTCCGTTTCAGGGCAATTACATTTGGAAGCAATGTCACATGGATTGGGTAATACATACACATTAACCCCTGCATTTCGTGCTGAAAATTCTAAATCACCGCTGCATTTATCGGAATTTTATATGTTTGAGGCTGAATTAGCATTTATGGAGGACATTTACTCCTTGACCTCATTCATTGAAAAAATGATAAAAAACGTTACATTACGGATTATAGAATCAGCAACAGATGATTTAAAATTTTGTCAAGAAAAAGCGTTAGGAACTGCTTTTGAGCTACCTTGGCTGAAAGCAGCGTGGGTCACTCTTAGCTATGATGAAGCTTTGGACATTTTAATAGCAAATAAAGATAAATTTCAAACAGCACTTAAGCCAAATGAAGGATTTTCTAAGGAACAAGAATTATTCCTCACCAACCATTGCGGAACTCCAGTGTTTGTTGTTGATTGGCCTTCTGATCAAAAGCCATTCTATATGAAAGTGGTTCAAACAAAACCTAACCGAGTTCATGCTCTAGATTTGTTAATGCCTGAAGTTGGAGAATTGTGTGGAGGGAGTTTACGTGAAAATGACGAGATGCGTTTGAGGTCACATCCACGTTTACCACAAGACTTGGAATGGTATTTGGAATTGAGAAAGTTTGGCGGCGTTCCTACAGGTGGTTTCGGTTTAGGCTTTGAGCGCTACCTTCAATTACTTACGGGAGTAAAGAACATACGTGATGTTATACCATTTCCACGATACCCACATAGTTGCCAAATGTGAATATATATTTGCTATTATGTTGTTTTTAATACTATGCACATTCAATACATGGAGACGAAAAGTTGACAATGAAAGTAATAATAATAATTAATATTCTTTAAAAGCAACAAACAGTACATTTTCATTAATTTTAATATATTTGGTCACCTATTACATATACGAATCTCGATATTCAGTTGTTTTGATTTGCCAAAGATTAATCTTCGCACTGCATTTTCAAATCGGAAGCAGGGATATAGAGCCTAATATATGAATCCCAAACAATAAGTTTTTTGGACGGAAAGTATGTATTGTTTTATAATAAGTAGCAACATTACAATAGCCAAATGTCAATATATGTCAACATTGTGAAAACCTCTATTGTAAGCATTTTTGTAGTATGAGGGTTAATATTTTAAACGTCAAACTTTCACATATTTATTTTCACATGTTCGCGCGTAAACGCTTCAAACTTAATTAAAGTGCAGCGGTTGCAATAAATAATTCGGTGTCATAACTTTATTTTTGCGTTCATATTTGCTTACCACAGCACTTTATAAAAAAAGCAATTAAACGTGCCAAATAAAATCAAAGTCATGGCCACTTTAATTGAGCAAATGCTAACTAAGATGGGGTTACGGGACGAGCCCAGTATGCAAAGGTCAGCATCACAGAATTTTTAAAATAAAGTATATAATATTTAATGCGTATGTATGCCCGTACTTTTGGATTTTTAGCAAGACGTTAGAATTGTTGCGTATTCTTGAGTTACGTTCCGCTAATGCGCCACTACAGCTAAATGAATATGCAAAGACAGTGCTCTGCGCGGATATTGCGACCACAGTATTGGGCATAGCTTGTGATGTGGTAATAAATTTATAGTAAGAATGTATAATTTTTAAAGACCGCTGTTTTAGGAACAAAATGTTAAGTTATCCACTTTGCGCAAATCACATTACAACAAACACAAACGTATGATTGAAAAAATCCTAGATGTAAATAAAATCGTCGGTGTGAATGACATATGTGTGCAATTAAATATGACTGAGGTTTCACAAAAGGCTGTAGAACTATTAGAATTGTACAAGACTATTATAGCAAAAGAAAGCGCCAATGATGAAAATGATCTAATCCATCCTCAATATGCAGCAATGGCCGTTTTCCAGGCTGCCAAAATATTAAAACAAAAATCGTCAAAAGCGAAAATAATGAGTTTTAGCAATTTGCGACCAACTCAATGGCAACATCTTGAACTGCGATGGAATAAATTTTTAACGAAATATTATAAAGAAACATCTGATAAAAGACAAAGGCTTCGTGTTGGAGAATCTAATGAAGGAACTGAGATTTTAAAATCGCAAAGTTGTGTAGAAAATAAAAAACGTTTAGCATCTTCTGTAGAGGATTACGAACAATGGAAAAAGCGAATTTTGGAGAAGGCAGAGGAGCAGTTAAGGCATCAACTAAATGAACAAGAAGATAAACTTGAAATTGATAAAGAAAACCTAATTTTAGGAATGTAAAAAATAAATAAAGCGTATGTTGACCTGGTTTCATAGTAGGAGGTATATTTAAGATCTATTACATAAAGGGTATTTAGTGAAAAATTAAAATAAATGTATATTTTTTTAAGAAAATTTTGAGTATATATTTACTAATTACTAACTGCTTGAATATATTTGTACGTTTTAAATATAGTTTTCCAATTATTAAATAAATATAAGTAAAAAACTATTAGTGTTGTATAATTTAACTATCTACTTATCTATTATCAATAAATTTTAGTCGTATTCGCCAACTGTTTAGAGAGTATCACCTTTTCAAAATGGTTAAAAAGCATCTCTCCTATGTCCTGTTTCTCACCATTCGGTTTAAAATCTGTATTAAATAATGAAACCTGTTGCGTTTTCTTTCTTTTGAACCTTTGAAGTTTTTTTTATACTCACCATTATAGAAAATTAACTCAATCTCCTCCTCTGTATCTGGACAGTTATATATCAACTGCCTCAAGTATTTATAAAATTTCAATAGAATTTCCCGCTGCATTTCCTCTAGTTGTTTTGTTTTTGTGGCGGGAAAATTTAATGTTTCGAAAAATGTTAAAATTGGAGTTGCTCCTTCCAATGATATATAATAAAACCGATTATTAATAGGCATCCGAAAACGGTATACATCATTTTGATACGGACGATATACTCCAGCACGATTCAGACGCACCTCAGATAGTGGCTATTAGAGAATATGAGTTATTTTATATAAATACATAAATAACAAGAATTTATATTATTTACTTACCTCCGCTTTTTCTAAATAAAGACTTTCAAATTTAGATTTAATAAACAATTTGCTTGGTACTAGTATAACCAATCGATGGATTGCAAATTGTACACCATGGCTTTGTTCATAGAAATTTATGCGATCGCGTATACCGGTATTATTCGTATGCGCTGGTATAGTTAATTTCAAATATCCATGAAAAAAGTTAGCTGCCATACTTGACGCAGAATCCAAACCGTGATTACCACGTATAAACATTGCACTGTCTAGTATGCTATGCCCCATTTGAGCCGAAGATATTAACCACCAAAGTGGCATATAGGCGAAAAAAATCGGTGGCGGTATTAAATGCAATCGTTCCGTAAATTTAATGCGCACTAAAGCTACTACAATAACGCAAAAGAAAACAACTAATGTGGTGGGATTGTAACAATATGCTCGACAAAATATTGTCCAAAAACGTTTTTCGGGTAAGTAGTGATTTTTATATTTAAAGTTTTCCAATAAAGCTTTATAAAAGCGAAGAAACAAATCTGCGACAAAGAATGTTACCAAAAAATATACAACGTTATCTAAAAAAATAATATCATTTAACTAGTATATTATTTAAATACCTAAAATACGTACCTATATATTCACTAAAGACACTCATTTTTGTTTTTTTAACCTCCTAGGCTGTAATTTACATTTTCTTTTTTCTAAAGACCCATCATTTTCTTGGAGAACGCAAATTTCTTCTTCATAAACTCTCATAATTCGCAGCTAATACAACTACTAAAAAAAGTAAGGGAGGCCTAAGTTCGGCTGCATCTAAATACATTTTTATATAAAAAAAAATATATCTACAAATATATACAAAAGACGAAGAAATGCAAATCTACCGTATTTCCCCAATGATTGAATTTACTAGCTATGTCTAAGTATTCTCATTAGCTTTACAAACAGCCATTGGTGAACAAAACTATTTTACCTATGTCAGAATACATATGTAGATATATTTATGTATAGTTTTTGATATTATCGCATGCTTCCAGGAAAATATAAAAGATTCTTCAATATATTACAAATACTCAGCACATAAATAGGAATCAATATTTTTGACTTCTTACAGCAATAATATCAGAGATACAAATAGATAGAAAGGAAAAATGTATTATTAGAAGGAAAATAGGGAATCGTGTTGAAACGTCAAAAACTCTTTAGTAAGCCAGGGAGCTAAGAACTTTGAATATACATACATACATGTATTTTTGCCTTTCTCTGCAGGATTTCCATTGATGAAAAGCAGATATAGAAAAGTTTAAACTTTATTTCTGGTTTAAACGGTTGTTGCGTTTGTGACAGAAGAGACAGGTTGTAGCTCCATTTGATATATGGGATTTTTTATAAAAACTTGATTGACGTTTTTTGATGAGGATGTAAAATCAGCTGTTTATAAACTATTGTGAATAACAACCAAATTATTTGGTAATGGATCACTGAATAGTTAAAACCCTTGTACCATGGTTAAAACCATTAGTAGAAGTAAGTTATATATTTAAAAATTCATTTATATTTTCTGTATTAAAAACATTTATTATCATTTAGAAGTAAGAGGAAGTATAATTACGAAGAAGAATTAAATCTAAGGAAATGAAGAGACGTGTTATTGTCAAGAAGGTAAAGTTCAAATAAACAAGTTATTGTGGAAACGACCTTTTGGTCTTATGGTTTACGCTACAAAATATTCGTAAATATTATATTTTTGCTATAATTTATGTACAAATGTGTACCCAAGTTGGAAATTGTCCTTTAATTTTCAGTTGCGCAAACGGTAATTCTTTGGCTAAAGAGGTGGAGAATTCAAAAATTTGTATTATTTTTAACCCTGCATCAGATTTCTACATGTCAATCAATCCCTATGTACATAGATGTTATCACCTAAATCTTTTTTCGATTAACAAATATATTTGTTTTATTACTGTTCTGTACATCTGAATATATAATATAGACTCTGCTAACAACCATGGTCGTGGAGGTATGTGAAATTTGTATAATTATATTACCTTGCTTCTAAAATATTGTGATATCTTATAATATACATCATACAAAATTATATGTACATATACGCCTCACACTCGCTGCATATCCTTTCTATTATAATAATAGTTAGACGTCAACCTATTTATACTAACTAAATTTAAAAATTATGATTTTTGCAAATCCTTAGAAAAAGCTTGCAACCACCAATTCTAAACGGTCCATCGATGATGGTTCCCCTACAAAATACACGTATACTGGACAAGTGTTGGAACTTATTGAGGCCTATAATGTTGCTGTACAAATTTTATATCCGAAATATCCCTGGTACATATTCCCAGGACATCTGATCTTTGCAATTTATAAACGCTATATGAAATTTTATAAGGGTAAATTTCGTATGGTACCCATACCAAATTCATTATACGAACTTTTAATTGCCAACGAACTTATAAAAACGGAGCATATCGCCTTTATACCAAAAGATGTATATGATGAATATGTAGAATCAGCAGATGCAAATTTTGTCAATTTGATTATAAATGCTGAGAACGCCCTACATAGCACATCCAAAATTACCAATACGAAAAATGTAAATCATACGTCTGACGATGTTATTAAACAAATGCTTAGCAGTGCGCCACATACAATCGTCGCACAGATACTGCCAACTGTTAACTGTCAATCGAATTGTATATTTGTTAAAGAGAATTTCTATTCTAATTTAATGGATCGGTTTCGTGTAACCAATGATTGCAGCCAACGAACACGCTTCTGGGTACATTTAGAGCACCTAAATGATGAACAAACAATTCCAAGCATTGCTAGCAAAGCGCATGGATATTTGTTAAATAGTCCATACGATTTACCTGCTGAAGTTTCCGAATTAATACTTAATAATTACTTCAACACGCCTCGACTACTACATCGTGGGCACACATATCGAATTGAGGTTGACGCTCATCTGGTGGGCACTGCAGCGTACGCACATTATTATTTAATTTTTGCTTACTTGAAGAGTGTTTATTTCCGATGTGCACATCTGGAGGTAAAAGGCAATGATTTTGAGATGCAAGCAATTGTTGCTAAGAACTTCACCAATCTGGTACAAGTGCCACATACTCATCATTTTATACCCCGACAGCTAATAGACAATATAGCAATTACGCATAATTATCCCACTGGTCTGAGACGTTCATATCAGTTATTACGTAACTCAATTGACGCTTTTTTGCCTAAGAAGACTGCATGTTTGTCCTCCAAGCATATATATCCTTTATTTCTCTTGCAAGGCGAAAGGGGCGCTGGCAAAACGAAATTAACAAATGCGGTTGCTCAAGAGTTAGGCCTTCACTTGTTTGGCGTTGACTGTGCTGAAATAGTGTCACAAGTTCCATCTCATACAGAAATGAAATTAAAAACTGTTTTCGCAAAGGGTAGCATTAGTGAACCGCTTCTTATATGCTTTCACAACTTTGAGGTAATTTATTTCTGCAATTAGAAATTCATATAAAACTAGATTTAATAATTTTGTACACACATTTCAGATATTTGGTATCGATAATGAAGGAAATGAAGATTTACGCTTACTATCCGCATTTCAAGTGCAAATTCACGAACTATTTGCCCACGATCGCAAGCACCCAATTGTTATTGTCGCTTTGACTAATGAAAAGTTTCTCAAACCTATGATTCAACGGCTTTTCTTAGAAGTTATATACTTAGAGACACCAACTAAGGACGAACGCTATAACATTTTATGTTGGTTACACACTCGTGAATTATTCAACGTAACGATTTTCAATAAGAGAGAGATTTCTTCTGTACCACTATTCAGTTTAGAGCAGCGAGATCGTTATATGAGACAAATTTCAGAGAAATGGTTGAATGTAAAATCAATTTTGCGAGAAGTTGCCGACAAATCACAAGGTTTTTTATTAGGCGATTTGGAAATGTTGTATGAAAATGCGGTTCGCGCTTTGCGCAAATGTCGAGACTCTAAATCAAAATCGTGTCTTAAATTGATGCACTTCTCCAAACATCTTAGTGAAATGCAAAACTCTTTTGCTAATAGTCTTGGTGCACCTAAGGTACCCAAAGTACTTTGGTCTGACATAGGTGGCCTATCCAAACTGAAAGATGAGATTCAAAGCAGTATCGGCTTACCATTGAAACATATGCATTTAATGGGTAAGAATTTAAGACGTTCAGGCATATTACTGTACGGTCCACCAGGAACAGGCAAGACATTGGTTGCCAAAGCAGTTGCGACCGAATGTAATATAAGTTTTCTATCAGTGCAGGGACCGGAGCTACTAAATATGTATGTCGGACAAAGTGAGCAAAATGTACGTGAGGTGTTTGAACGCGCTCGTTCCGCAACTCCTTGTGTACTGTTTTTGGATGAACTTGATTCTTTAGCACCAAATCGTGGAGTT